GGTGGCTTGGGACAGACTGGTGCCAGGATACAGACTGGTGCCAGGATTCAGCCTGCAGCGCAGCCCTGGAGAGTTGGAGAGCCGTCCGGGCTAACCTGGGACTGGACAGAGATGGCAATCTCAGCTCTGCAGTGGGAGGAGACCCTGACTCAGCAGTGAGTCAGAGGCAAGGACAGCGAGCGTGGCGCCCTGCTGCTGGCCAGGTGCCGGGAGCTGGGTGAGCTGCCTCCCTCAGAGGGAAAAAAAACCCACAAAAAGAGCATCTCGGGAGAGAGCTGAAGCAGAGCCCTCTCGGCAGGGCAGTGGGGAAGGGACCTGCTGCCTAGAGAGCCCTCGTTAGAGGGGAGCGGAGCCAATGCACCCCGCTGGGTACCCACCTGCTTGCAGAAACGCAGGAACCCGATGGAGTAGGACATACCCTGAAGGCAGCAGGTCCCATAAAAGCAGCTGGATCTGGAAGCAGAACCCGAGGAGATGCAACATGTTGGGGCTGCTGGATGGGGAAAGCAGGTGGAGGGCCGAGGGACTCATGGGATGCTGGGACTTACACAATGGGTTTCCCTCGGATCTCTGTCATGATGGTGCTCTCCCCTCCGAGGTACTCGAAGCACAGGCTCAGGAAGCTGTAAATCACAAAAGCTGGCAAGGCAAGGGCAGACACAATCAGCAGGGCTGATGGAGATCTGGGAGGGGGTTGTTACATTTCACATTCCTTCCTGCTCAGGTGTTTTTTCATCCACCACAGCACTGCATCAGGATTTGGGACACTGGTGAGTGGGAGCCCAGTGAGAGGAGCAGCAGGTCAAATCGGTCTGACTTCCCAGCGGAGTCAGATGTACTGCACCATGGGCACAGGGTTCGTTGCAGACGCAGAAGCTCCTCCGCACACACGCAGTCTGTGTGTGGCACGTGGCAGCAGTCGGGTGTCCCAGCAGTGCTCGTAGAGCCAGCCTCCATGCACACCCAGACAAGTCCAGGCAGGAGTGCAATGGCCAGGGACCATCTGCATGAAAGGACCTCAAAATTGCTAAAGGGCAGCACGAGCGGCTGGTGGCCAGCAAGGAGCAGGTCCTGAATGGTTTTCTTGGACATTCCCATCACTTGTTTTTCATATAGTCCAAACGTGAAGTAATACACACGGCCACCACACCCCTGCATTCCCCACGGGGCGAGCAACAAGGTGGAAGAGCAACCTCAACCCTGACGAGTTTGCCTGCACCTCAAAACACCCCAACTCCCCAATTTCTTAGGTAATCTACCTTCTGAGTTAGAAGCAGTGTTTCTACCCCAAAGGCAGCCAGAAAACCTCTTTCCCCAGAAGCATGGTGCTGGCGTCCCTCTGAGCCTGCAGGCAGGCGTTGGAAAGGCACCAGCTCGTGTCTGCCTGTGGGGCATCCCCTCCCTGCTGCTGATGGAGAAGGAAGGGGAAAACCTCTGCGTGGAGGAAAGGAGAGCGGGAAGTGAGAACTGCCGCTTTATGCAATCCAGGATGCTCCAGAGACACAGGTCAGCGAGATGAGAGCCCTGCTTTGCCACCAGCCTCCCTGCCAAGGAGAGACAGTGCTCACCTTCATAGCAGTCACGCACTGAGTCGAAGTAGACGTAGTATTGATGGCTGCCGAGGAGGAGGAGACTGAGCCAGGAGTCGAAGGCATAGATGGGCACGATGAAGAGGATGCGGATGATGTAGCGCTGCTCCTTGGGAACGGTGTAATTCTTCAGGTGTGTGTAGATCTGCAAAGTGCCCGGCGTGCAGAGCTGTGGCTACCACCGGTCAGGAAGGGAACCAGAAGTATCCCCAGTCCACAGGGCTGCAGAAGGCTCGTCCCATGTCAGCCCTCCTCCCAGGGGTGAGAGTGCCACTGGCTTTCCACCACAGACCCATTGTGGTGAACAGACACACAAGACGGGCTCCATGCCAGTCCCCAGGGCAATCCCTTCCACAAACACACATGGAAATTGAGTCCCTTCCCAAGGCTGTGTGACCAGCGTGCACTCCTTCATGCCAGCCCCCCGTGCAGCCCTGTCACAGCACTTGGAGGCGCCAGCTTGCCCCAGGGTTGCCGTCAGCAGCACGGATCCGTGCAGCACCCGAAAACATGCCCACTGGCAGTAAGTTTCAAGGCAGCCAGTGTTGTGCACCCCAAAGGCATAGACCTGGGGTGCCAAGAAACCCTGCTGGGCAGTGCCAATGCCCTGCAGCCTCTCCTGGCTCTGGCAGCCACCCGGGAGCATGTGGGCAAAGTCCACCCTCCCAAGCTGCCAGCACCAGGCTCCCGACAGCAGAGATATCCCCTCCGGGCAGCACCAGGAGGAAGTGTTTATCTGGAGCTGTGGTTTGCAATGAACTTGGGGGTAATCAATAGTTTTGCCTTTCCGTCAACCCCAGCGCTGAGCCCCATCTCCGCTCCAGCCCATACCTGGTGGAACGTGACGATGAGTGCTGACCACACGAAGATGCCGGAGATGACCTGCGCTGCTGTCGTGGTCAGGAAAAGCTGCTGGCCATCCTGAGAGTCGTTGTGGGCAGCCGTGAGCAGGGCAAGGGCTGGGGATGGGGGAGCTGAAGCCAGCCTGGCCACCGTGCCAGGCCCTGGGATGCTGGGTGCCGCTGGAGAGGGCAAGGCACGCGTGGCATTACTCATCTGCAGGGAGGGAGAGGCAGGAGGAGTGGCGCAGGAAGGCAGGACCGAGGTAAGCTGGTGAAGGGGAAGGTCCCTGCAGGTTTCCCAGCCCACACCTCCTGTAAGGTTTATCTCCTCCCCAGGGTTTTTCCAGGGTGTCCCTCACCTAAACCAGCCTGTTCACCATGGCTGAGTCTGCTTCTCCCAGCAGGAAAATGCAAACATCCTTCAAGAGCAGACTGTCTTTTTGCAGTCCCTGTGTCCCCCAAAACACATGCTTCTCCTTCCCAGCCTTGCTCTTTCTTGTTTTCTCAGGGCTCACTGTCCCACTTGAAAGGGAGAGACCTGCCTACACATTTGTGCCCCTGTGAGTTCACAGTTGTGGCTCAGGACCCTTTTCCATCAGAAACCAGAGACTTAAGGGTTAAACTCATCCTTCACCAATGATAATAACGAGTCCCTTACCAAGGAGCCATCAGAACACTCATGTCCTCCTCCTTGGGAGCCCAGAAAGCACTGGGATCCCTGTGGCCCTGCCCAAATTTGGCTCCTTTCATCACGCGTGGCCTGCTGGGGGCAAACCCCAAGGCTGCCCAAGAAGCCCGAGGTTCGGCATCACCCAGGTTGTTTGGACAGCCTCGGCAGTTTCGGGATCGTGGGAGTCTTGGTGTGCTGGCAATGCCAACCTTGAGACCTGAAGGGCAGCCAGCCATCCCTCCTGCACCCAAATTAAGCACAAGGGAGCAAGCCTGCCATGCTGCAGGCAGAGCAGGCAGAGCTGCTGCCCTTTGGGGATGCTGAAGTGCTCCAGTATCTCCCCAGCAGGTCTGTCCCCATTGAAGCTGGTTGCCCCAAGTCACCGAGCATTCCCAGCGCAGAGGGTGGACGGGGCATACGGGCACCGTGTACCCTGCGGCTCCACACAGCAAGGACCAACATAATAATATGCTCTTATTTATAGGGCAGCTTCATATCTCAAGGCCAACAGATGCATAAACTGCCATGTTTGGCCTGTCTTTCTGCTCATCTATGGAAAGCTGCTTTTCCCCAACTATAATAGCAGTTTAAAAAAACCAAACAAACCACAACCTGTGAGCAAAGCTCTAACAATATAGATGCTTCTTGGTGCATTGTTAATAAACAAAGATTTTAGCTGCTGGGTAACTATCGCCTGGGAGTAAAACTGTAAGCATGAACTGGTGAGAGGGAAGAAAATATCTGCCACAGATAAGAGTGGTAGGGAATGACCTCGGTCCAATTAAACACAGAAAACAAACCAAAGCAAGAGCTCGCCCCGCGGCTTCCTCTCCTGCCCTCTTCCCGAACTCCAGCCTCGCAGGAGAGGAAACCCAGCTGGTGTCAGATCCACAGCCCTAAAAATACCTTTCTCCCCTCTCCGCCTGGCAGGAGCCGCCTGTAAGCGGAGATGCCCGGGGTGGCGGCGTGCTGGCGAGGTCCCAGGAGCTCACCCCAGCGTACCTGCACCCACGAGCGGGGAAGCGGAGCTGGAGATGGCTGGAGGGAGAGCGGGGCTGATAGTGTTACGGCAGCAGCAAGGAGCCAGGTTTTTCCTCCCTGCGACCGTCCTGCGGCCATGCCCCAGCCGGCAGGAAGCAGGATCCCGGGGAGAGCCAAGGAGGGATCTGGTCTTTGGACAGACCGCAACAACGCTGGATCTGCCTTATAAACATTAACAGCAGGACGGAGATAGCCCGCGGTGCGGGGAGGGAGGCGACAGCCCAGCTGTGCCCCATTCCCCATCATTCCTTGCTCTTTTTGGGCGCTGCCCTGCTGCTGGCTGGGGCTGTACGGCTGGGTTTGTCCACGCTTTCCCTCTGCCAGAGCATCACGATAGGGAAGGATGTGACCCAGCTCGCTTCCCAGGACATGGCAGGGAGCTGTGCTCATCGCTAGACCCATTTATTCTGTTTTCGACCCAGCGCCGTGCCACAGAGGCTTGGCTCAAGACATCCCAACTCCTATTAGCTTTCCCAGCCACCGCAGTACGAGCACGGTGGCACCAGCAGCCGGTCCTGGCAGGCTCCCCTACATTGTCACACTTTGAACACGGCAGAGCAAGCCATTAAAAACAAAAGCCTTGGTGCCACTTGGAGACAGGGCTCCCAGCTCCAGAGGTAATTAGATCCCGGCTTGTGCAAGGTAGCCGGGCAATTCAATGCAGTTAGAGGGCCATTTGCTTTCAAAACAAAGGCTGCGAGGAGACGCAGAGAATAATATTAGCTGCAGAACTCAGCTCCTCGATGGGACTGCACCAGTGCCACATGCAGTCCGGCTGTTTTCAGACACCTTGCAGGTACCTGCCATGCAGTGTCTACCTGTTACACTCACTCCCTGGGATATTAGAGATGCTAAGTGAGCACTGAGCAGAAGATAAACCGAGCAGTGAAACCTGCGTTCAGGCAGGCCACCTGCACACGGGGCTTCTCACTTTGCCAGGGATTCCCTTCCACCTGCAGGCTGCCAGAGCCGACTCCCAGCGCACATCCCTTCCAGTGTCCCAAAGCACCCGGGACAAATCCCCACCCCGGGGGCAGCCCCTGTGGGGCTGGGGCAGTCAGAAAGGAAAGGTGAGCCCTGCGGCCCGCCCCCCCAGTACCGCTACGGTGCTGGCCCCGGTAAGCAGGGAGAGATCTCTGACCCCCATCGCGGGGAGGGGAGCATCCAGGCTCAGCCCCACCAGCGCAGGAGACATGCCTTTCCCGATTGCTCTCAGATAAAGCCAGGGCATGGGGTTATTTACCCAACCAGCCTCTCCATACCACTCCCAGGGCAGCCAGGAGGAAGGACCTATAGCCCATAGCTATAAATTAAGGCAGGACAGCATTGAGCCCTCCTTAAAGCCCGTCCGGAGGAGTGGGTGACGCAGGCACAGGGCTCTGGCAGCAGGCTCTGCCCTCCCGGCAGCTCCCATGGGTGCTCAGGCCTGATGGATGGGACAACTCCTGCTCCGTGGCGGGGGTGGTGGGGGGGTG